AGACACTGATTTATTATTATTATTATTATTATTATTATTATTATTATTATTATTATTATTATTATTATTATTATTATTATTATTATTTATTTATTTATTTATTTTTTTGTATAAAACCTAAACTCCATTCCCATTCTAAGTCGGAGATATTCTGTCAGCACAGAGTTATCTCTGTTAGACGTGTTTCTTTGTACTCTCAATGTAAAACCTTCTAATTAATAATTCGTGTCTTTCTTTTTATAAATATGTCATCAGGCAGAGTCCCATTCCTCGTCGCCACTCTTCTGAACGGGAGAGAAAAATGCAAGATTTTTATTCAAGTGAAGCACAAGTGTGTTTATCCACATTTGTCTACTGATAGATGCACAAAAAGAGCTAAACTTAAAACTTATCTTCAGCTACACTTATAATTAAGGTGATATTCTAAAAGAACAGGACAAATTCAAATACAAACATCTTTTTAAAAGATGTCCGTCTTTTTGACTAAACTGGTCTGAAATCAGATTTTTATCCTCCCCAAATCTTTTTGTTGATGATTCAGGCATTTACGTCGTTTACATCCAAATAATTCCCTCCTGTATGATCTGGCTGTTTTTACCCTGGAGGACTGAAAATGCTGGCTGACGTAAAATAATCCCCGCTCTGTGCAGTCATCTCCTATCACAACATGACCTCGCCCGACCCCGAGGCTCTGCTGCTGAGCCGCAAAGACAACAGAGCCAATAAACTGCTGCTGCTCCAAAACGTTTCGCTGCTCCTCCGCTCACTTTCTCGTTCCATCTTTTCTTTTTAGGCTTTTACAAGTTTTTGTATTCATAAACTAAAATTCAAAGGAAGCTAGTTGTGAAAACTGATACATGATATTTACTGTAAAGCTGCAGTATGCAACTTTTACTTTTAAAAAAATTAGTTTGTTTTTTTTACATATTTGTTGTTTTTACGTTGATGTTTGGAGATGAACAGTTTACTCTGCTATTAGAACATTTAGCAGCGAGTACATGAGATTGATTATCAGAATTAAGACCCCCCTCCTGGCTCTGATTGGTTGTTTCTGACCAGCAGACGTCAACTGTAGCTCAAGGAGGAGGTGGAGGAAATTAATCTTTTCACAGATTATCTGACTCATCACTGTCAGGACATGGTGGTAATTATTAAAAAAGGTTAAAAAAAACATTTTTGTAAAAAAAAATTAAAAAGCAGCTTTAAGCCTATTGAAATTAATAACAAAATTGCCAAATTTGCTTTTTTTTTTTTTTTTTAACTATTCCCTTTTACGCTTTAAGTGCCATTCAAATTTAATCTTCACTGCTATTTGCAACAGAAATGAAACAATTTCTGGTTAGCATACCTAAAAAATAGCAGTCATTATCTGGGAGATATAAAAAAAAAAAAGAGTGAAATCTTGGGTGGGCTTGCTCTAACTTCTGCCTCACAGAGGATGGAAATCATTAAGGTCTCTGGGTAAGACGACTCCACAGGGCTGCACGAAGAGATGAACAGCAATTACAGATCATTTAATTAATGTGCATTTTGGAACAACCATTTCCAAATTAGATTTTTTCTCTTCCTCATGAAAGTGAGAAATAAGAGCTGCTAAACGAGACAGCGTGGGAAAACGTTTTGCACAGACCTACAAAGTTAACATCAATTGCGTTCTTTTAGGTCTTTCATTTGGCATAAAAGCAAAACAAGTCAGTAAGACAAGAAGGACAATTCTGTTTTATTACTTTCTTTTTTTTGTGCTAGTCTTTTATGTGTTTTAGCGTAATCTGAGATTACAAAGATTATAAAGTTCAGAGGAAGCTGTTCAAAGAAAATGAAGAGTGAAGGAACTCTGTGAAGAGGCAGTGAAAATATCGGAGGTTTTTTGTTTTAATGGGGCATCATTTTAACCCTTTCATGCATAGCGGTCACTACAAAGGACAATTTCTTAAAAGCCATTTTCTTGTGCTTCTTGTGGATTTTTATGTTATAAATGCACACAGACCATTGAAGTGGGCACTAATGTGCCATAAAATACACTATCAACTACTGGCCATCAGCTGCAAATGAAAGAAATTATTTTTGTTAAATTCAATATGGCCGACAGACAGAAAAGCACGCCGACTGACCCGGTCCCTCCTTCTACTGTAGACTCTTGCAGGTAAAAAAAATATTGTGACCCCTAAAGAATAATACTACTGAATTTTAAAATAACTTTGTATTTGGAGAAAATTACAATTGATCACCTAAAAAAAAGAAAAAAAAATCTCTTTACAAAATGTTTTTCCTACCTTTTTTTATGCCTTAAGAAAATAAAAAAAATATATTTGGAAAAAAAAATCCTGACACAAAGGATCATAATTCATGTATGAAAGGGTTAATATTTAAATATTTGTCAAAAACTTGACAGAGGATAGCTGACATTTGTGACTATTACAGTGTTCATTAGCATCCAGATGAATTATCATGAATTTTACTGTAAATATTTAATGATGATCCTGTTCAGATTCCCCGTTAAACAACTAAGAAGATGAGACAAAAAAAATGTGTCCATTTCACTCTTAGTCCCAAACATCAGTATGAGTCCCAGGGTCAGGAATATTTTAATTAGAGACATCAGAGGAGCTGATGACATTTAACATTTAACAAACCTTCTCTTGGTTTGTTTGAATGGCCAAAAAGCAGAAAATATCCAACGATTGGAGGAATTGCTTAGTGATTTCTGAGTAGAAAGGAAAGACTGGTTTGAGAGAATCAAGAAACATAAACACTCTGGAACCAAAACATGAAGAATACCAACTCTGAAAAGCACAACGTACACAGATCTACAGACCTCAAGCCCTCTGCTTCTTGATTTCAGGTGAATGTGTGGATGAGCCATAACTTTCTTCAGCTGAACAGAAACAAAACTGAACTTTTTATCTTTGGACCCAAAGAGGAACGATCGGGAGTCAGTGCACAGCTTCAGTTATTACAGGTAGAAACCAGCAATCAGACCCAAAGTGGCCGATGATTGACTCTGACCTGAACCTTCAGAGTCACATAAAGACAAAGTTACAAAGTTGGCCTTCCATCACCTGAAGAACATTTCCAGACTTAAAGAACTAATGTACCAGCCAGATCTAGAGAAGCTCATCAAGAGGTTTATCATTAGTCGCAGTGATTACTGCAAGTGTCCTCATAGCTCTGCTTCATAATGTATAACTGTATTATATGAAGCACTGATGTATTATGAAGATATCTGAAGTAAAGCACTTCGACCTGCCTTATTGCTGAAATGTGCTGTACAAATTAACTTGATGTAACATGTCGAACCTTGAAGCAGACCCACTAAATTAGACCAAATAAAAAGAAGAAAACCAGCTAGATTTTCTAAAATGTTACTTGAAGGAGCAACTTTCCTGCACCGTCCGCTCTTAATGGAATCCAGTCTCACCGATCCCAGTGGCGAGGTTCGTAGGTTAAAGCCGCTGGAGGACGTACCAATCACATTATTTCATGATTGAATCACTTCAAAATATTGCTGCAATTAATTTCATTCCCTCTCAATTTTTTTTCCCCTCTTTCGACAGAGATTTTTGTTAGTCTTTTTTTTTGTTTGTTTTTTTTTTTACAAGCTATTAAGCACAAAATAAACATCATTTGGACATTTCTCTCCTCTAAGCAAAACCTCAAGCCCTCTGCTTCTTTATTTTATCTTTCTGAACTTCATTGCACTTGAAGGTCGCACAGGCCTGGGGACGCGTGCGACAAATCAAGCTGGTTTCACAGTGTTTTTAACATTTTGTTTTTAGAAGCTGAAAGCGTGTAGTTGCAAGTCCATTAAAGCAACATCACATCAGCAACCTGTCAAATGTTTCTTTGGGGGGAAGAAAACTGTGAATTTATCAAAATAAGTTCTATATTTCACAATTTTCCAATGTCACTGTGTAGATTCTCTTCAGTTTTGTGCAGCACTCGCTTCTTGCTGAATAAAAATGTTTTGTTTGTACTTTTTAAAGAGGTTTTGAGCTTCAAGGATTGATAGTCATTTTTAATGTGCTTGAAAAACATCCATGCTTCTCATGTTTAGTATTAAAATACGCAGGTAGGCCAACGATGACATATTCCGAGACAAATGCTTCCCACATGGAGTTCATAGATGTATGTTACGTGCTACATACACACGCTAACTCTGAACCTGGGGGGGTTTTAGTGGCTTGCAGGGTCCAGTTAAGCCGCTGTCAAGTCCAAGAATCTGTCTGCCGTTGGATTTCAACCCATTCATTTATTCATCTGCGTTCCTCTTTCCAATAATCCATCCATCCACCCATGGCAAGTTTTGACTGCTTCCATTGCAACCAGATTGTTCAAATAAATCAAGCCTCGCTCTCTTCACGTTTTTTTTTTTTCCACTTCTTTCTCTTTTCTCTCGGCAGCCGGCAGCCGTCCAGGTGGAACAACGTCTCCAAATAAAAAGCACATTGAGAGGCTGATGAGGATGACAGACTGTAAAGTGGGAATTTGTTCTCCTTTTGAGCCAGTGGCCTTAGCAAATAAGTTTCACCTTTTGTACAAAAGCATCCATTGGGGTCGGGTTGGTAGAATTAGATATCTTTTTTTTTTTTTTTTTTTTTTTGATAACATGTAAATATTATTGTAATTCAAATTACAAGAAGCACCAATTTGACTGCTTTGTATCACAAATAGTGAATTAGTTCATCACTTTTCAATGCACATAACAGGTCAGATCGTTAAGCTGCAGTATGTACGTTTTATAAAAAGTTTTTTTTTTTTTTTTTTACTTATTTGTTGAAACTGTCACCATGTTGTGACAGTTTGGTGAGACAGATGAACTGTGAAAAAACTCCCCTGCCTAAAATTATAGTTTACCATGAAAAGGCACTAATATTTGATGTGTATGTTAGATTTGTGCTCCAACGACAAACCAAACAACGATCTCATGTAAACTCTTAAATCCACCACTAGGTCATTAAACACGTGAGTAAAAGTGCATCAATGACCAAACAACACAGATGATAACAATAATAAGTCATTTTAATACTGTTCTGTTCTCAGCATTGGTAAAATATATACAGAAATGCTACACGTGAAGCTAACAAACAAACAAAGGAGACAACGATAAGAAAAGACAAGTTTCCCTAAACAAACTGGGAAGGTAGTGTTAAAAAGCATGTGTAAAAAAAATATTACAAACATAACCTGCTATTTTCACTGGCCAAAGAAATATGGAGAATCTTCCAGTTACACATTTTGTAAAACTGTTCAAAAGAAAACAGGAAGACAAAGCTAGTGATGGATGGTCTTGACTTATATATAAAGAAAAGATACAGACAAATGAACAAATAGACAAAAATTTTTAAAAAAGTAATAAGGGTTTTTGACAAATTTAACTCCAATGGAGTTGATGTTTCTTGACATACAGTTTATGCAGTGTGGCGTGGGATGAAATAAAAAACCTTTTAGATGTATACAAAATCGCAACGCGACTCTTTAACGTTTTCACAATGACATCGCTTTAAAAACACATAATTGCTCTCATTCATTTTGTTTTCCACCATGAAAATTAAAAATGACAGAAACACCCAACGTTTGTCACAGTCTCGCTGCACGTCACAGTAGCTGCTCTTGCTGTGTCGGGGTGTTTGGGGCTACGGAGAACAAACACGTTATACATCTTCAATAGAAAAATATTAATAGTATTCATTACAATTCTCTTTCTGCATTAAATTTGGATGTTCATGTGCATTTTTAAGTTTGTGTTTTATTGCTACCGGTGTGCTTTGATAAGGTCTTGTGAGACTTAGACCTGTATTTATCTTTACCCAAGTAAAGATAAATAAAGGAAACTTTTAAGTGATGTAAGCAAAAATGACAAGCAGTAAAAATAACCATGATGATACATCTTTTTTTAAAGGGCAAATGTCAGATTTCTGAGCAAAAAAACAAAAAACAAAACAAAACTGTACGGTAATTGAAATTATGAACACAATGGTGATGAAGGTTTTCCACTTGTGATGGTTTTGTTTTAACAGCCCATTTTTTTAGGACCTACTTTACTGGGGTTTACTGAAAATGTAACGTCAGGGGGAATAGGGAGTCACTAGAGTAACTCCCCTACAATAATTTGACCCACCATTTATAAAAACTCACATTGACTCTATGTGAAGTTTTAAAGTTACCATATTTCTCCTGATTTCTTCCCCTTCACTGGATAAATCACCTTATAAATCTTTTTGATAAACTTTAATTTGAGCCGAGCATCGCTTATGTCCTGGATGTACATTGCGTTATGCACTGAAGTCCAAGTTTTCTGTTTCAAACTTAACATGATCATATTTCTGTTCTTTGTTTTTCAAGAACCGATTTTCTCGATTCTCTACATAGAATTTAGTGAAGCTACCTTGAGCTGAACAAAGATAAAGAGGAAAAGTTGACATGATGAGACTTGATGACATTATGCCCTTTGAGCAGAAACAACCATTGCTTCATCTCTCAACAATATTAATACTAAATGACTATTTACAAAAGAGGCAGTAAAAATTCACAAAAAATGCAGAAAGCCAACTGGTAAAACAGCCTCTCTGTAACGGCACAGAATAATACAAATAAAGTCCATTTTATTTAATCTTTCACAGTAAATTTAAGTCCAGAGAAGCCAAAGGCTCTGCCATGTAGGAAACTGTGGTGTTTCTGGAGAAACTGCAGAATCCCAAATCTGTGTTTGCAAGATTTGTTTTGTCCTCACATTAGATGATGTCAACACTTGAATCCAGACTTTGAACAGCGGTTCTGTAACGATTTGCAAAGTTTCCGAACATAACTTTGTTGTTGCTTCTCCAAATCTTCGCTTTGTAGCAGTCATCACAAAAGAAACAAGTGTAGTTTTCAGTGCAACTTTTTTTTCAATCCCTTGCAGGTACTTGAAAGTCCATTAACATTAAAATTTATGATTCAAAAATCTTCATGTCTTTAAACCTCTGGCACTTCTCCAGTTCAAGGCACTTTTTTCAGTTTCAGTATTCCCATATCCAGCAACAAGATTAAAGTGTTTCTCTTTCTTATAAGCAAAGAAAAAAAGTACAGAGTTATAGTAGGTCACTGCTAGCAGGCATTGTCCACTACGAAGACCCTTCTAATTGATTGCACTTGATTTATTGATTGGATTAGATGTTCCACTGCCACCCTCTGTTCACTGAATTTCAATCACGTCTTCTTCATTGTCCCATAGTGGTTAAGCACATTTTGAATATGCTGTGATCTGAAATCCCATTGTTTTGAGTCTCTTAAATATATAATCTGGTATGTTATTTCATCATGTGCACAACAGAGCACAGTAAGTGCCCTATCTCCAATAGTGGACATCTGAGACTAAGAGAGACGTAGCAGGTTCAGAACGTCCCAACGGAAACTCTCCTCAGCGTTAGAAATAAGACGCCTTCAGTGTTGCTTGATTGTTATTTGATGGACAGTGTCCTTGCATCAAGGGTGCTTCATAGTCCATACTGCCATTTTGTTGCAGTAATGGGGGCAGTTGTGGGGTCTGGCAATGATCTGCCTCGGGCTGTTTGAGGAGTAGTGTACCATTGACTCCGTTCTCTAGATGAACCTTTTTACCCTCCAGGTCTATTGCCTCAGGATCCGTTGAGCCCAGCTCCAGCTCCATTTCTGAATTTGCCTGCCTCTTCTTCTGTACACAGATGATTGTACCAGCCACCAAAACCAACACCAGGACTAATGCTAGGACTGCCAGCGCTGCAATGAGATTCTTTGTCATAGGGGTGTCTGGATCTACCAAATGTTCTACAAAGATAGTAGGACTAGTGCGAGCCTCTGTACAGGGACCCAGTTCTACAGAGCTGTTACCTTTATAAATGATCTTTTCTCCAAGGGGACTGACACAGACCAAGTAGGTACAGTTTGGGTTCAAACCACGCAAAGTGTATACAGGGTAGTATGTTGGCAAACTCAGCATGTGAGGGCGACGGTCGGGGCCTGAGAGGTTACGATAGGTCAGCCTGATGCCACGAATGTTAGGCCGTGTCTCGATGAAGCGGTGCAGGTCAAGGAGTATTGATGTGGACGTCACCTCCCGTGAGCTGATCGCATCTAGTTTATCCGGCATTGCTGAAGTCACCACAGAGACCTCTGTTTCAGATTTCTGCGGGACCTCGGGAATTTCACAGTAGTCTCCAGATGATCCCGAAGAACACAAACAGTTGAGTAGGCCATTTGGGTCAAAATAGCAAGTCCCTCCATTCAAGCAGATGTTTTGTGGGCAGAAATGTAACTCGTTTTCCACAACAGTAGAGCTAGGAGACACTGGAGGATCTGATCCAAAGGATGGGTTGTCTGTTATGGAGGGAACAGTTTCATCACTAGGTGGTAGAGGGGGAGGGATAGCGTTAGTATGGGCGGTTTCTGGAGAGGTGGTAGGGATTTGGGGAACAGGGGTGTTTTCTACAGGGGAGCCAACAGATTCTGTTGTGGTTAGTGGACATCCAAAGTCGTTGTGCTCTAATGCCGAAAGTGTCTTCCCAGCATTAACGAGAGGGAAATGGCATCTGGTTTCCTCTGGCCGCTTCAAATTGACTTCCTTCTCTTTTAGCCAGACAGGGAACCAGGCCAGTGGACAGAGACAGTTGAAGGGGTTCTCGGCTATGGTCAGTTGTGTCAACTTTGAGAAGCTTTCAAAGAAACCTTCTGGAAATCCCTGGAGATTAACTCCGCTTAGATCCAGTTCTTGAAGTGCAACCAGTTGATGAAAGTCACTCACCCTCAGCTCAAAAAGTGGGTTAGCAGCCAGGCTTAGTTTCGTAAGCCCCTTGAGAGATTCCTGCTTCAGGGCTTGAGGGACTTCCTTTAACTGATTCATTGACAAGTCAAGTTCATGAAGGTTTCTCAGGGAGGCTACAAGATTTTCATCCAATGACGGTAGTCCTAATGAGGACAATTTCAGCGCTTCTAGATGGGGAGTATGAAGATGTGAATGTTCCAGGGGTGGGAGTTTATTGTGACTGAGGTCCAAAAGAAGTAGCCTGGGGAAATTGAGAAAAGGCAGGGAGGTGAGCTTGTTTCCTTGCAGCTTCAACTCCAACAGCATCTCTAAACCTTCAAAAGCTTCACAATGAATGCTCTGAATGAGGTTTCCATGGAGATACAGCCTCTCTAGCTGGACCAACCCTGAGAAGCTGTCTTTGGAAATGTGAGTTATGTGGTTAGCAGAAAGGTCCAAGTTCTTCAATTTCGTCAGCGACTTAAAAGCCATGTCTGGAATTTCCGCTAACTTATTCTGGCTCAGGTCCAGTGACACCAGCTCGACAATGTCTTTGAAGTCATCTTGGGTCAAGGTTTCAATATCGTTCTGAAAGATGTATAGATGCTGGGTGGAGACAGGGACATGGGGTACAGTGCTGGACTGCCTGTGAATGCAAAACACTGAGTTTAGGGAGTTGCAGGAACAGGATTCTGGGCAGTCGGTGGAGAACACCACTGCAGAGGCCAGTAGGAAGCAAACGATGTAGAGCAACATGATGACGACAGCCCAGCGCTCTGAAAAACAGAAAACAGAAAGAAAAAGGTTATTTTTGATTTGCTAGTTGAGCTGGTCATATTTAAGACATTTTGAAATGATGTGTGAATGGTTTCCTGTCCACATTATTAACTTTAGGTACAGCTGTAGACCCAACAAGGTAAAATGCAGACTTCTGCTCATTGTTGGAGACTCACTAAGCTAACTGTTGGATAAATTTTATAAAAATTTGTTTGCAGGAAATATTCTGCAAACAAATGTACAACAATTTTCTGGTGAAGCTGTCTGACTTAAGAAATTGCAAGTGTGTGATACAGCTTATATGGTCTTGTAAAAGTTATTGTATTTAGGAGATTTTTGTACTTTTAGTTTATCCAGAAGCCAAAATACAAGTCAGCTCCATCAAGGACTATGCCCTGTGTCTAAATTAAACTGGTTCCACCAATTATGTCACACAGCTATTGTCTGCATATTGATTTTAAATTATTTCTTTTCTTGCACTTATTTTCCTACTTCTGTAAACGTTGAACATACCAGAGCCTAAGCCTTTAGTAATTCAGTGTCTCCTCACAATCATTAATGCAATTATCTCCTCGGAACTTCAAACCATTGCATGTCAACTCATATTTTTCCCCTTTTCTGTTTTGATCCTATTTTTAATCCATTCTTGTTTTTTTTGCCAATTGTTTTACTTCGCCTTCTGTGTTTATCCTGGTGTTTTTTCTCACAATTTCTGAATAAAGCTTAATAAATAAGAACTGATCAATTGATTGCTTGGTAATTACGTCTAAAATGCCAGAATTTAGACATAAAACCAGAAAACCAAAGCATTGGTACTTTCTTGACCACCACATCATGCTGTTACTTTCACTTCCTGAATCAAACTAGCAGCTCTTTGGTTTCAGATGAGAGCTCTAAGCTGGGGTGAAAATAAATCCAGATTACTAGACTTTCACTATGTGCGGTCACTTACTGTTTATGGAACATTAGAGCTGCTTGCCAGTCATTTCAGGATCCCAGAGTCCTACTGGCACACAGTGAGTAATTTGATGACAGGAAAGGAGAGGAAATATAATTGTTTGTTTAGTATCAAAACAGGAAGAGCTAGAGGAGAAACTGGGACAGCACGTTACCATATGAGACTTAGAGGAATATTAAATTGATTTTAGGTCCATTTTAGCAATGACAGCCAAAGCATTTTGTCTCCAGGACTTGAGTAGAGTAACTACAAACTCTGAGTTTTTTTTTGTTTGACAGCATTAGAGAGGGATTAACAAGAGTTTTGACAGACCAATTATTTCAAGGCGTTTACACTGTGTAAGTCAGTGAAAATCTGTGATAGCAGATGCTTAAATGGAAAATATCATGTATTTTCTAGGAACACCAAGTCATTTTATAACCCAAATATAACTTAAAAAAATTTGACTTTGCAATATAACGCCTTGAAATTTGGCCTCTGCCTCTTTAAGAAGCGACACGTCGACAAGCCACCAACGGCCACCAGTGATTGAAGGACTTCTCAAGTATGCACGAAAGAATCAACACAACAACCTGAGTATGTTCTTGACAGTGGAACAGTCATCCATGTTGCTTTTTCTACCACACAAACAGAATTACAGAAATAAGTTAATATTGATATTTGTCTAAATTATTGACACGTAAACTTGCAAATCAAATCTTATTTTTATTTTTCAAAGATCCCAAATTAATTGTGACAAATTTCAAATACACAAAGAGATCACAGCAGTGTAAATAATGCACTTTTCATTTGCAACATAAATGAATCATTATGTTCTCAACAACAGTAAGGAGACCAATGAACTTCTAGAGCCTGTAAACCAACAAAAAGATGCACAAAACCACATGGTATAAACATACATGTCAAGGTGCTGTTTGGACACGTCTCCTGCTTCAGCAGCAGGGGATTTGGGATCTTTCAACCCATACCCCTCACACACATATTACTGCAAATGTTTCCACGAGCACATGAATAAACTCAGTCCACTACACAGCTGGATTCTGTTAGCCACAGTTCACTGCAGCAATCGGTCACTGTGAGACAGAAGAGAGACCCACATAAACCTTCATCCTCCCCTTGTGATAAGACAGAGACAGTGGGAGAACAGAGAATGAAGTCTCCATCTGTGTTTCTCCACTATCTTTCTGTAACGGAGCAGCGTTATGTGTTTTCCGGGCACATAGTGCCTTTAAATAGCACAATCAACGAACTATTTTAACTTCAGTTGTTCTAAAAATGCTGTGCATGTCAAATAGGGCTTAAATGAAATTTGACTTTGTAATTTAAAGCCTTATAAATGGACTTCTGTCTCTTTAAGAGAATGTTGCTCTTTCTGAAACTCCGCCTTCAGGAAGTCATCAAAACATGGCTCCTCCATTAACCCTTTAACAACATTTTCACCAGCGTTAGACTAAGAAGTAGCTTGTACAATGAGCTCGGCAGATGCACCAGCTGTTTGCTAATTGCTGCTGGCTAGTCTGAAGGAGCTGACAAGGGAAGCTCTGTGACGCTTGGTAGATTGGAAACTGCAACTCTGGGGAGGACCTTTGCCTTGAAGGCGGAGCTAGGTCCACCAGGCGTTTTGCACAGCTGAATGGTTGCCAAGGGAAATTAAAAGATTTCTCAATCATACATGAAAGAATCAAAGTAATACTTCATGTATGTTTTTGATTAGGGAACAAAATTATAACATGATGTAAAGCTCAAAAAAGAAAGTTTATTTTACATAATACTGCCTCTTTAATGAAGACTCCCACTGTGTGTGATGTGGTACAGGATACTCGTACAATAAAGGCTTCACCAGTAAAGGAAGGCAAAAGGTGAATAATTGAGAGCCGGAGACAAAGAAGCAAAGCTGAGATCATAAATTGTGTTAAGAGAGTTTACTGGGAGGTTACTTCATTTTCTTTCAGAATGAAACTGGGACTTGAGTTATTGGTACCAAATTTCCAAGGTGAAATATCCTGTTACCTCATGCCTGAAAAGCTTACTAGTCAAATCTGTTTCACAACTTCAATCTTCCTAAAACTCTTAGTGTGTAAGTGGTGTGGCAGGAATCAAAGTGCAAGCAGGAAACGTGTGCTGTTGCACAGGAATGTTTGAACCCAGAGGTATGTGTGCGCCAAGCACACTGAACTCACAGTTGACTTACAATTCTAATATTGTAGTCATATAGCTAAATCAGAGCCAATTTATCATTTAAATGTTGGAACGTTATGAAGTATGGAGTAATCCTGTGCTTCCCCTCCTCCTCCTGTTGCTGCGCACTGGCTGAAAGAAAAAGAAAATCAAATTTCACCATGAGGCTTGACAGTTGGCAGGGATTAGTTCGTACATGATACAAGCTAATCTGTGGATTATGTGCTAACCGTCTGACCAGCATTTCCATTGGAATAGATGAGTAGACAGAGCCATTTAGGTAATACCTGTCTTGTGGTTGATGACTTGTTAAAACACTGGGTCTTTGAAGTGCTTGTTTACAAGTGGAATGCTGTAACGCAGCTCAGACATTTAGAGGCGTTGTTGATGTATTCTTTTACAGAGACTGGTGTCTAGCAAAGAGCGGCCGTTGGTCTCTCGTCTGTCAGAGTTTACTTTTGGAACGTGTTACTAAAGTTGTATGTGTTTACACTTGGATACGGTAAAAATGCAGGAGGAACACTAAGGTGTTACCCCTCCCCCCACCTGTTTCTGTAAACTGCTGGTCCCTAGCTGGTTCCAGTCTGTAAGTTGCTCAGGAGTATAAAACGCATTTATTTACAAATTTGGCCATGTTGGTGACAGGTTGTGTTCAGTTAGCTGCTTTTTAGCAAACTCTCGAAAACTATCAGCTTCATCTTGAAAATCTGCTGGAAGTATTAATGTATGTAAATCAGGGTTGTCCAGAATGGCTCCACTCCGTCGGTGTTCTAATACTCTCATTACATCTCATCAGAATGTTCTACGGTACCTGGTGAAGTGTGCAGCAGAGCAGAGACGCCTGCAGTACATTCAGGGATCAAGCAAAAAAAACATGCCGTCAAGCTGCACTGCAATTCACAGGACGAGTCAAACTGTGAATAAAACGGTGACTCCTAGTCTGGTATGCAAGTTGGAAAGTTACAAGAAAATAGCAGCAGCATAAGTTTGCTCATATCTACAGACAAAAAACTTTTTCATAATCAATTATCATTCATTATGTCAAATCAATCACAAATAACACTCATCAAAATGGGAAAGGTAAGCAAGAAAAGACAGCATGTGAAAAAACAACGTGTTGATCTTCATATATCAGGAAATGACTATTGCTTTGTATCGATACACACAGACTATGACCTGTCCCTTGTGGCTCTAATTAATGACATGTTGTGTGAGACTCTTTTATCTCCTATTCTTTGACAGTAATCCTCAGCATAGTTGTTCCTTCACCTGATTAATCCTGATCTAATCTGAGTTTGTTTGTGCTTCCTCCAGGCTTTTTACTGTGGGCCTCAGTCACTCTAACGCCCACGCACTTCTACACTACAACAGGCGAGTTGGGAAAAACAAAGACAGAGAAACCAAATTCATGTTAAACAGGCGGAAATGTAAGAGACGGCACCGATTCTAGACAATGACTCACAGGTACAGTTCTGTTGAAGCCAGAGGTTTGATGCCAACCACCATCAAACTGGATTGGTGACTAATCTGTCATCATTTAACCGTGGCTCCAGCCACTGACTTTAGTTTCCTTTTATCTGACTGTGGTTTGCTTCTGCTATTGCTATGATGAAAATGCATTCAGATGCACTGCTGCTCTGTGTCACACTGCAGTGTGTACCTATTGGTGTTTGCGCCCAAACCTTTGCACTGCCCTGCTAATAAAGTGAATGCGGTGACAAATCCAGACTGTTAGGAGGAATGCTTGTGTTCCTGTTGCTTTATTTGTGAGGACTTGTTCATTTTCTCACCTTACATGCAAAGAGGTAAAAGCCCCTCGGGCAAATTTAAGGCCTGCCTTCTATTGCCAGTTTGACGCTGTCT